ACCTTGGGTCACATGCCCAACCCTGAACCAGTCACTGTGACAAAGCTTGGCTCTGACTGGTTGGTCCTGGATGGGCAGCTGGACCAGGGAGAGGGGTCAGCCCTTCTGGATCCTTGCACTGAGTGAGGCAGTTCCCAAAGACAGTAGAGTTTTGCATGAACAATGGGAATGGGATGCCCCAGACTCTTCCAGGCAACTGCAGAGGCTCCAAGGCCCTTGTCTTCTCCACCCCATTCTCCTTCAGCCACTATGCTAGGCTTGGGTCTCTGCATTCTTTTTTTTTTTTTTTTTTTTTTTTGGTAATCAGGGACTTAGACTTCAAAGCTGTGGCCGAAGGCCTGGCTGCATTCTGGGATATCAGCCTTTTCCTGGGACGGGAGGGGACCAAGTGAAGGGAAGGGTCTGTCCTCTGCTGGCTTCCATGTTACCAGGTCTCAGTAATCCCCCAGCTCCCGAAACGACTTGCTGCACCTCTGGGATAGGGCAGGGTTCCGCGCTAGACGGGGAGGATGGCCCCACCTCCTCTAGGCTGGGCCACAGGCTGTCACAACGGGGAGGATTGTTCCTACTGAGTGTCTGGGCCAGAAAACACAAGTGGCCACTGTGTCCGCTTTCAAGGGTGTGGGCTCCAAGGTCAGAGACCGTCAGCCACTGACGGGGCTGCGGATCCCCCTCATCCCTGGCCTGGCCTCAGTACTGGTGGAGTTGGGCTTCTGAAGCCTCGATGCTAAATGCCTACTCACCTCCGAGTGCACCTCATTGTTCAGACTCTCACCCCCTCTGTCCAGGCTCTCCCTATAGCACAGAGAGAGCACAGAGTCATGCCGACCCACGTGGGCAACTCTGGAAAGCAGTTAGGTTCAAGGACTTTGAAACACCAGGGGCCCAAGGCTGTTAGTTGCAGCTATCTGACCTTGGACTTGGCTTCGCCCCTCTGAACATATAGTTTGTCTTTTATGGTTCTCATCCTGTTGGCCAGGATGGGCTTGTAGTACCAAGTACCTGATTGTCCATTTTCTTATACATAAAACAGAGACAGACAGACAGACAGACAAGCAAACGAGCAGTCTCCAGGAAGCACAGCATTCTCTTTGAACTCAAGGTCCAAGTCAAGACCACAGTCCTGAACTCGATCCTCTCCTTTCCAGGCCTCAGTCTGCCATCTGGGAAGTAGGCATGTAGCCAGTGCCTGCCTCGATCAATGCCTACACCTGTCAAGGCTCCCCTTGCTGTGGGTGCCTGGTGCTGGCTGTGCTTGTCATTGGTCTTTAGCTCATGGTGAGCAGACAGGCTTGTGACAGATGTGGCCTTCAAAAGTCACAGGCCTGTGAATCACAGCTTCCTCCTCCCTTGCCTGGGAACGGTATTTGCCTTCCAGGTCTGAGTGGCAATGGTCAGCACCCGCTGTTGTTTTTTTTTTTTTTCTTCTTTTTTTTTAATCATCGCTGTTGCGACATTCTCTGCTGCCCTTGGGCAATGGGTTGTTTTAGCCAGACTTTTAAGGAATCTGGTTTTGGCACAGTGACTGCACGGGCCCCTCCCTGGTGGGCTCTGGCTTCTGAAGTCTGCGTGAGGCACAGGGCACAACTGAGCAGTCTGGGTGTTGACACTGGCTCCTTGCTGAAGGCCCAGCCCTTTGGTCAATGCTTCTTTTATTGTACAGTGTGGGCAAAGCAGGCCCTGTGCAATCCTGGAAGACAGTCCCCTCCCCTGCATTAATAAAAAAACATCTTTTTTTCAAGAAACTCGGGAAAATGTGACATTCAACCTTCTTCACCAGAACTCTCGGCAACAAAAGGCGGTTGTAAACGGGTGGCTTTTGCCTAACTCATTGTGGTTGAGGTGCTGTGGTCACCTGACCCTCCATCTGCCAACCCCAAAAACCCCACCCTTCCTCTCTGCCTCTCCAAGGTTCAACTTTCAACTTCTCTTCTAGGAGAGGAGACTCTAGTTGCTCATCTAATAGGTTTTTTAAGGTGTTCTGAAAAAAACATTCAAAGTTGAGTTGAGAGAAAAAGGACACTCCAACACACACACACACACACACACACACACACACACACCCTGCTGATCTGGGCTCTTGGGCTGGGTGATGGAGGTCTCATGACCTCTGCTCTGAAGCAAAAAAAAAAATCTTTGGTGGAGGAAGACTTGGGAGCAGGCTTCCAGGGGTCCAGACCCACCCTGCTACTTTGCTCTTGGGGCTTTGCCTCTTAACTACACTGCCCTGGAGGATGGCTGAAATAGTAACTGAGTTAGCACACTTCCAAGTGTAAGCCAAGAGTGAGCAAACCCTGTACCCCCCATAAACGAACTGTCCTGATCACTGTATGGGACCTGGGGCTCTCGGCAGCTTAGACAGAACCCAAGCTGAGAATAGACAGGAAAATGCCCGTTTGCATCCTCCCTACCACTTCCTTTGCAAAGGTTCCCTCTCAGGTTGATGCCTTCTGGGCCATGCCCATCATAAGCAGCCACCTGATCCCTTTCAGCAGGATCGGTGGCACCTCTCCATCTAGACCTTGATTTCTGAGACCAAGGTGACTGTCTGAATGTCACCCTACATGGGCCTTGCTCCAGGCATAGCAAAGGCCATCAGGGTACAGAGGCTTCTCAGTGCCGGAGATTGTATGGACTTGTATAGTCCAGAGCAGTGGTTCTCAGCCTGTGGGTTGTGACCTTTTTGAGAGGGGTCTGGTGACCCTTTTGCAAGGATCACCTAAGACCATCAGAAAATACAGATTCATTATGATTCATAGCAGTAGCAAAATTACAGTTAGGAAGTAACAACAAAATAATTTTATGGTTGGGGGTCACCACAACATGAGGAACTGTATTAAAGGGTCACAGCTCTAGAAAGGCTGAGAACCACTGCCCTAGAGAATGTAAAGAATCTGTGATGATAAATGACTCAGGTGCAAATTCCAGGCATGTGTGTCCCCTCTCTGAACTTGGCCTTGCTTCTCAAAACCTTGCAGTGGGAGTCTGAGCTGCAGGCTGCTGTGTCCTGACCCTGTGGGTGAATGTGCATTGTCACTTAGAACTGCAGGTCGCTGTGCCCTGACCTGGTGGGTGAATGTGTATTGTCACCCAGGGCCTGAAGATACACAGGAAGAACTGTCCTGAATGTGCAGAGTTGTCAGCTAAGGTCAGAGGTCAGAGTGGGTGTGAGGCACAGCACCTTCAAGGAGGCATGGGTGGAGCACTAGTGTTCATGGCCCTGGGGTACCCGCTGCCCCTGTGCATCTGGGGCCTTTTCATCATAGCGTGTCCTCTGTCAACACTGGGGACAGGCCCTTGTGAGCATGGGGGTAGAGAGGGTAAAGGTTGTCATAGCATCCTTTGCATCTTGAAGGACACAGAGGGCGTTGTGTGTGGGTCTTGTGTCTTGATTTGGGGCCCACTTATAAGGTGGCGTGGTGGCACTGCCTCTACCATTCTGTTTACTTCACGCTTTCTTTTTGGAATTTTGGCAAAATAAAGTTAATATTCTGTTGATCACATTAGCTTGTCCAAGGCCTGCAGCTCCTAAATAAGTCCGATAACCTTCACCACTGTCTATGTTCCAAGGTTTTGTTTTATTATTTTATTTTTGAGACATTGTCTAATATAACTTGGAACTCACAATGTATACCAGGCTGGCTTCAAACTTACAGAGATCCCCCTGCCTCTGCATCCTGAATTCATGGCCTGTGTCAACAAGTCTGACCCAAGGTGTTTTTGTTTTTAAATCATCTCCAACAAATTCTGGATCTGATAAGTGGCCACCCCACCCCCATACAGTCCCTGGTAACCTCTATTTGAGTTTCTGTCTCTGTTGATGACTAACTCTAGGTCAGTTGGATGGAATCATAAAGTATTTAGCTTTTGTGCCTGGCTTGTTTCACTTAGACTAGAGACCATTATTTTCCTTCCTGCTTGCCTTCATCTATGTCTGTGCACTATACGCATGCAGTGTCCGAGGAGGCCAGAAGAGGGAGTTGAGTCTCCCTCCCATGGATTCTGGACGGCTGTGAGCCACCTTTTGGATGCTGGGAATCTAGCCCAGGTCCTTTGCAAGAACAGCCAGTGCTTCTTATCCTCTGAGCCATCATCTCTCCAGCCCTAGAGAACAGCATTTTCAAGCCTCATTTGTTACTGTTGTGGCATTTCATGGTGGAGCACCAGCCCATGGCGTGTATGTGCTGGTTTCTTTGGTGGCCCTTGGGTGGTCCCACCCTTGGCTGTGGTGGATGCCCACCCACCCTTGGCTGTGGTGGATGCAGCGCGGTGTACTGACACGCTGTAATCCCTACTTGAGGCTCCGTTGACTCTGAACCTGTAGTGGGAGTGCAGCGTCTGCGTTGGTCCCTGGAGTGGGGAACTCCAAGCCAGTTGCTCGCCGCTGTCCTGCGTCGCTCCGTTCTCCTGTTCCACATCCTCAGCAGTTCCTGTTGAGTTTCTGTTTCCTGACTGTCATCCTAGCTGGAGAAAGTGCTCACTCTCTTTCTCGTCAGAGAAGCAGCGGTGTTCTGCCCAGGTGACATGTAGCCAGGAAGCAATTGTGCCGTGATGCATGCAGATGCACGCACCTGAAGCTTAAATAGCGCTCAGTGACAATGCTCGTGAGTCTCCGTTTCAGGCTTTCCATGGCCGCCGGCTGTCAGGAGTGGTTTTCCTCAGTGTTTTTGTTCTTTTTCTTTCTTTTCGTTTTTGTATCGTTAAGAGTTTGTGTGTGTGTGTGTGTGTGTGTGTGTGTGTGTGTGTGTGTGCGCACTAAAGTATTGTATTTTTTCCATAGTATGGTTTTATCTTACTTCCTTACTGAACACATAGAATGGTCTTTCTGGTCAGAGCTCCCCTGTGTTGACACCTCCTGTGCCCTGGCCACGTGTCAGGTCAGTGTCACAGACCCTTGGATGTCCACCTCTGTTTTCACACTTGTATGAGGTGCTCAGAAGCCTTCCAGGGACGTCTCCTGCCCAGCCTGTCTTGTAACCTTCTGTGTCCCCACATTGCAGGCCAAAAACAAGGAGACCGGTGCCTTGGCAGCTGCCAAAGTCATCGAGACCAAGAGCGAGGAGGAGCTGGAAGACTACATTGTGGAGATTGAGATCCTGGCCACCTGCGATCACCCGTACATCGTGAAGCTCCTGGGGGCCTATTACTATGACGGGAAGCTATGGGTAAGAGTGTGCCAGCTGGGCCCCGATGCCCACCATGCTTTCTCAGCGTCTGCTGTGTGGGTCAGGGCCGCGGCAGGGACAAGGTGAAGTCTTCTGCTGAGTCCTTGGCCTCCTTTCTCACCCCACTTCCCACACTCAGGCCAAGGTCACAGAAACAAGTGTCCCAAAAGTCTGTCCTGTCCTTAAGTTCTGTGCTGTAGCATATGAACCAGAGAAGGCTGGACTGTCACTAACCCTCTGTGAATGGAGAGATGACCATCCTTCATCTAGAAATCCGACACAATCCAAAGGCTACTACTGCTCAGGGCATTTTCTATTTCATACCGTCAGCTGGGAAGGCTTGGGGCTGCTCCCCTGCCTTTGTGTGTTAGGTCTGAAGGCCTCTCGAGCCTGAACATGGCACCCCATAAGGAATTCTTGCCTCACGTCATGGTGCCTTTGACATGGATCACTCCAGGGTTAAGTGGGTGAATTCTGGATGAATGCCCAGAGGCCTGGTGTGGACGGGGCGTCTGAGTGCTGATTGTGGTGTCATTTGTAAGACTCATAGCTCTCCCAGTTCTATGTTCTTAGACTCCCCCCACCCCAGCATCACCCTTGGCTCCTGCAAGGGTTCTGGGACCTCTGTGTGTGTGTGTGTGTGTGTGTGTGTGTGTGTGTGTGTGTGTGTGTGTTTTCAATGGTGGGAACTGAGCCCAGGGCCTTGTGTGTGCTAGGCAAGTGCTCTACCACTCAGCAACATCTCCAGCCTAATAATGTGTGTGTGTGTGTGTATTGTGTCCCATACACATGCATACATATATGTGTGCACACACACAAACATATGTAAATAATCCCCCTCTAAACTCTGGACACCATGGAAATGAAGTGATGTGTGTGCAAGAAACATTTCAAGTAGATTCTGGGTGTGACTGGCAGTGTCAGAATCTTGCAGATATTTGGAGACATGGTTGAAGGGCCTCAGGCTGAGGGTCCAGGCAACTCAGCCATCATCGGAGCTGTAAGAACACAGGTCTTGCCACTATGGCTGGCAGGGGTATTTCAGAGACGTGCATTGATAAGAAAGGGATGCTGTAGGTGTAGTGCACACCGCTGTGGTGGTTGGTGGGTTTGCAGGGTTTTCCATGTCTAGTCAGGTCTCAGAACACTGGGACTTGCTGTTGGCCAGGGATGCTTTGTCAGTAGAGTCTTGGCTTTATATTGACAGAGTGCCTGACTTACTCCTGCTAAATGGGGAAGCCTGGCTCCCTGGAGAAAAAGGTCCATCTGGCTGCTTAGGAAAACGGGGAGTTCACAAGGCCCTGTGCTCTCTCACCTCACAGGCAGGAAGGGAAGCCAGCAGGAGGAAGTCAGTGGCGTAGGGACAGGGACTTAGCCTTCCCAGCTTGTGTTAGTCTGGTGCCCATTGCTGTGGATGCCAGAGGAGGGGCTTCTTGAACAAGAGATACTTGGTTGGCACACAGCTCTGGAGGTGTGGAGCTGTGGTGCCAAGGACGACAGGCTCAGGTCAGTGGGAATCATAGAGGGTTTTGTTGAAGAAAATCTCATGGCAATATTGGGAGCCAGAGAGCGTCCAAGGTCCCAGAAAGGACCTCCTTCCTCCTCCTTAGAAGCCTGTCTCTGTGACTTCACTCTTAAAGGTGATGTCACCTCCCATTCATATCACCACATTGGGGACAAGGCTTCCAGTGCCTGAACTCTTGGGGGGACACACACAAGCCACAGCATAGCTCCCCCTACCCAGCGCTCTGTCCCCTGTACTTGCTGTCCCACTCCAAGGCTCTGACCCTGTCACTTGCTGCACCCCCAAGTCTCTGCTCCCTTCTACCCTGGGCTCTGTCCCCTGTCACTCCCCCACCCCTGGACTCTGCCCTGTCGCTTGTTGTGTCTCCTTTTACTGCTTATAGCATCTCTTAGGGGAGCTGCTTGGGCAGGAGTGGTGAAATAAAGCCCACGCAGCCAACTTAAGATTCTAAAGCCCTGTTTGTCCTCTGTCACCTGGGACTCTGGAGGTGGAGCAGGACAGGGAGAGTCACTAGGTAGTCCTGCTTTTCCAGAGGAAGAAACAGAGGCATGGAGAGGTGAGCCTCTTGCTCAGAACCAAGGGGCCAGGGTGGATGAAGCCAGTCATAGTAGTGGAAGTAATTGTTTTTAAGCAATTAGAGAAAGGAGAAATGACTGCTGTCACTTGGGTAGTTACTGAAGAAAAATGGGAACATGGAAAAGCATAGAATGAAAACTGCTTGAATTTTTTTTGTCAGAAGACCCACTGGTAACATTCAAAATAATTTTCTAGATGTTTTCATACAGAGCTCTAAGTAAGTTAGCGTGCCATGCCTGCTACTGTGTCTTTGCCATTTTAGCTGAGACACCCTACACACAGTCACATCACCCACTCTCTCACCGACACTCCATCCATCTCCCCATCCCCATCACTCCATCATCTCCCCATCCCCATCACTCCATCATCTCCCATCCCCATCACTCCATCATCTCCCATCCCCATCACTCCATCATCTCCCATCCCCATCACTCCATCCATCTCTCCCCATCCCCATCACTCCATCCATCTGTCCCCACCCCCATCACTCCATCCATCTCTCCCTATCCACCATCGATCCATCCACCACTTCCCTACCCACTGTCCACACGTTGGTGGACATCAAGTAGGCAATTACAGCAAATTGGGGAAATCTCTCCTACAGGCCTCAGATGCTATCTTACAGTTCTTAGCTTTTGGGTTGATGAAAGCTAGGGACCTGTTCATGAATTCCAAAAGAATTTGCATAGTAACCGTGGGATATTAGGTCATACACAGAGCTGGGCAGTGAATGGCAAAGATGACCTAAGATAATTTGGCTCTGGAGCTGCAACATTCAAACCTCCCCATTCACCGCAGTTCCAGTCTGTTGAGTGTTCAGCTGTTATAGAGTGTTCAGTGTAGGTGTGACTTCTTTTGGGGGGTTCATAGGATTATTGCTGCTCTTGGATGGGGCGACCCCTGGGAGAGGTGCAGCTGGTACAGTAATTAGAGACCATATTGTTCAAGGCCTGGATACCAAGATGAAGATTTTACAGCTGACCTTACAGAGGTCAGCCTTCAGACCAGCAGGCTCAGCACCTCCTGGAACTACCAGTCACGTCGTGATGGAACCCCACCTGGCCCTCCCCATTCATGAGCAGGGTGCTGCCCAGCGCCTGTAGTTTGAGAGCCTTCTAGGTGAGTCATGCTGGCTTAAGTCTGAAAACATCTATTTTAGGCCTTGGCAACCCGGTTGCAGTTTTGCTCAGGGCAAGTACATTATGTGTTTTAGAAAAACATCAGCTTTGGGGGCAAGAGGTAAAAGCCTTGACTCTGGCTAGGAAGCAGTTGAGAGTGGTTTGGGCCAGAAGTCTAAGGCTGTGATGTGGAACGTGGACCACATCAGGGGAAGGGGCATTTGGACTGTGTCTTGCAGGATGCATAGGGCTTAGAAAGGAGCAAGGTGAGAAGCTGTGTGGTTCTGAGATTGAAGGTTGGAGGCCACACTGGCTGTGGTGTCACTTCTGTGGGGTGACTTGGGGCCCAGCTTCCTGTGTGGTCTCAGCAGCCAGCTTTCCCATGTAGGTGTGTAACAGAACCAGTCAGGGCTGCTGCTGGGGATGGGCCTTGAAGAGCTGGCAGTTAGCCAACTCCTGCATCCCGCACAGCCAGAATGGACCTTTCCTGCTGCAGTGTGAGTCTTCTACCCACATCCTAAAAAGTGAGTTTCTTCCACAATTTACAGATTAGCAAAATCCCTCTAGATGCTCCTCATTTTCACTTCTACTTTTAAATATTTAATGGTGGACACCACACACACATACCACACACACATATACCACACACACACACACCCCTACACCATACCACATAGACTATACCCACCATACACATACTAGACTACACACACCACACACATACTACACACATCACACATACAGACTACATACACCACACATACTACACCACACACACACAATACACACAACACACACATACACATACCACACACACACCCCTCCACCACACCACGTACACTACACACACCACACACATACCCCACACACACTACACACACCACAACACAGACTACACATACCACACACACACCCTACACACCATACATATACCCCACACACTACACACACCACACACACACAGACTACACACACCACACTATACACACACACACACCACAGGCACCCCCCCAAACCACACCACATACGCCACACAATACCCCACACACCACACGTGCGTGCACACACACACACACACACACACACACATACACACACACCTGGCTCTATATGCCTTGGAGGGTGGGTTGCAGACCCATGAGACCTGTGAACACTGCGCCTCTGGCGTTCTGTTTCTGGTGGCTTCACCTGTTCTGATAGCTGTGTTTGATGGGGCGAGTGGGGGAGTCTTCCCTAAATAAGAATTTATTTAACACCTGAATGTAGTGGTGCACACCTTTAATCCCTGCACTCTGGAGGCAGAGGCAGGCAGATCTCTGCGTTTGAGGCCAGCCTAATCTATAGAGTAAGTTCCAGGATAGCCAGGGCTACACAGAAACCCTATCTCAAAAAGCAAAAACTAAAACAAAATATTTAACCTGGTGAAAGACGCCATTTTGACATATGATCAATATAGAAGTTTCTGCTTTTTTATTGTCTTCAAGTCCTGCATGCACTTTGTCCTTGCAGCACATTTTTAAAAGTTAAGATTTTAAACTTTCATCAGAAACCCTTTATCTACACGTATGTTACAAAATCCCCATAAGATTCACATCCCCAAGTGTCCTTGTATCTTTGGTGTGCCCAAGAGCTGAACTGAGTGGATTAGAACATTTAACTTAGCTGGGGTACATGTGAGTACAGTGCCGATGGTCAGGTTCCTCCCTTAGTGGCTACTGTATCGCCCCTGGCTTCCCAGTTCATCCACCACGGGCTGACCCCATGTAGCCTTGGCCATGATT